AAAAACGAGGTAAAAACTAACTTCATTCATGATCCAAATGCTCTCTGTAAAACTGTGTAGAAGACAGAAAGAGAGAGACACACGTTACCCATATGTAGACACACAGATATGCATACACAAAATCAACTAACTGCAAATAAACATAATCCTTTGGATTACTAACTTAATCCCACATGTGTTTTCTCATGTGTGTTTTCGTAAGTATGAAGATAAAAGTTTCATATTCTACTTGGAAAACAGATCTTTTGTGCCTTTTGCAATAGCATCATTAGGGAGTAAATACAAAAAAGCACCACTGTTCAGAAGTAAGGATAGGGTTCTCTTGTCCAGAAGAAAGTACCTCTGTGGACAGTTTCTCCTCTGTCCATACTTACCCTCTCTGTCTGCTCCCCTAGCTGTGGGGTCGTTTTGGTTCCACAGGAAAACCACACCTGTCTCAGCAGTTGCTCTGGGTCCTGGCTTCTTTCTGAATACTTTGGCCCAAGGTAAGCTAAGGGTATACCTTATCGCCTTATTCTTGTTTTTCATCTTATTATCTCTCTCCCTGCATTAGAAACCACTTCCTACAATAGCCTATTTAGCAGTTGGTCATGCATTCACTGTATTAAATTTAGAGCCTTGAGAATACAAATATTAAGTCAGGGCCTTGGGAGTGGAGAGGTTTACAGACCACGGTGAAAGCTTTCACTCACTGAGATCTGCCTCTCCCCCACTCCAGAGTTGCTGCTATCCACCTTCCTCTGTCCTCATCCACTGCTGAATTCTGCCATTCTCAGTCTTCCACACTGGATTGAATTCATATGACTATGGGAATAAAAATACTAGGAATGCCTCCCAGAGTCTTTCCTTTTCTCTCAAGTCACACGTATACTTTGACAGTGTACAGGGAGACAGTATTCCTACATTTGTAGTTGTGCTTAAATCCAAAGAAATTTGTGGCTAAATCCAAAGAAATGACACTAGCTACGGGCTTATTAGGGAAGTGAGAACAGAAGTATGGTACTATGGCAAATTTGGGAAGAGAGATTACTTAGTCGTAGGTCCCATAGGACCCCAAAGCATCTTGTTCACACTACATGGACATGAAACTTCTTCATCGTGTTGGGTGTTAAAGGATTTGGAAAACATGGTTATGTGGGTTTCCTCTCTTCATAGTAAACCAGCCTGCCTGGTTCTCTATTCTAGTAGTACTCATACTTTGGATCTTATCCCATGAGAATTTTTGTTTCTCACTTTGCCTGAGGAAGAACAGTACCATGTGTTGGTGTCAATTACATTTTCAGTAATTTGTAATAATGAACATTAATACTAGTATTGTGAACATTTTTGTGTTTCTTGATAGGTCCAATTTCCATCCAGATATGAAAAATTGCATCTCCTATTCTATCCCTGCCACAGTTTTAACGGTTAACCCCCTTCTGACTTGATCTCCTTGACAACAGGACAAGTCAATGGCTTGTTTTTTGAGCCTTGACATATCAATCATCTTCTCAATATTTTATCTGCCACCCAAACAAATAAAAGCAATTTACTAAACAAATCCCTCCCTTTGAGCCTGAACCCAACTAATTAAAAGCATGCAAATAATATAGTCAGCAACTCAGGTGGATAAACTTCTATTGATTCTTGTGCATGTGAGTTACCTTAGGTGAAACTGACTTTAGAAACACTCTGCAAATGTTCAACACCAAGCCTTCCCCTTTATGATGCACAATTTCTGCTGGTTCTATACACTGCATACCTTCCTTGGTGGTCCAACTTACTCTCACTGCTGAGCTCTGGCAGGTCGTTTCACGATTCATCTTTGGAAAAAGTACTGTACTTGGTGGTGAAGGAGAAATATGTATAATTCTTGAGAGAGGTTCATTATAAGAAATTTCATCTTGAACAACAAAGTAAACAACTTTTAGATAATCAGGACTCGGCAGAAGTCCAACAAGGAAGTTAGCACTGCTGTATTTCTGACAGGACCTCGTGGGAGAGGGCTCCAGCAACATGCATTTTTAAATGCCTCTCTTGTTACTATTTTAATTTGCAGGAGGGTTGTGTTGGTCGGTTGATTGTTTGGTTGTTTTAAATCAACTGCACAGATTCGGAAGCAACCGTAAGTCGGGCAAAACATTCTATGAATCCAAACCTGCCAACAAGGAGAAGGATAGATTTCTAACCTGCTATTACTACAGGTTATTTCCAGAGCAAACATTACTCAAATGGGGAGACTACTGAAACTCTGGCAATTTATTCCATCTGAAATGATTTGATCATTTGCAGTAAGGAAATATTAAAAATGGAAGGGAAGGGTAGCTAATCCAGTCATGGTAAAATGTATTTGTTCCTGGTCGGTCATCTGAACTTATGAGTAGTGAACATAGAAAAACTTTA